GGCCTGGACAAGATAGACAAGTTCACTTATTCGTCTGAACCATTGATCGTTGCAGGTTCGATGTTAGCTATCGGCATCATGACCTCGGGCGTGCGTATAGATAGCGAACCCGGTCTGGCGCTGCTAGGCGACCCGGAAAAGCTCGAGAATAAAAACCGACTTATCCGAATAACTGCCATTATGGGTCTCGGACTTTCCTACGCTGGATCTCAAAAGGAAGAGGTGCTGGAACATCTGATTCCCATTATTAGTAATCCCGACAACGACATGCAGATAGTTGCTCTGGCTGCTCTATCTTGTGGTCTTATCTGCGTCGGTTCCGCTAATCCTTTGGCGATAGAGGAAATCATGAGTGTTTTGTTGGACGATGAGCGCGGAAACGTTTTTTCGGACAAGTGGTTTAGATTCCTGGCCCTTGGACTCGGGCTTCTCTTTTTCGGCCGCCAGGAGGAGGTCGATGTTATCTTAGAGACGCTAAAAGCAGTTTCTCATCCCATGGGTCGGCCAACAGCGATCCTGTGCGAGGTCTGCGCCTGGGCTGGCACTGGCGCCGTGCTGAAGATTCAAGAACTGCTGCATATATGTAACGAGCACTTTGATGCCGACTCCGGAGACAAGGGCTGCGAGGAGTTATTGCAAATGTACGCAGTCCTTGGAATTGCCTTGGTAGCCATGGGCGAAGATGTCGGGCAAGAAATGGTACTGCGACAGTTTGGACATCTCATGCATTACGGCGAGGCCAACATCCGGCGTGTTGTGCCGCTTGCTATGGCCTTGATTAGCCCCAGCAACCCACAGATGAAGGTCTACGATACACTGTCTCGGTATAGTCACGATAACGACAACGATGTCGCGATAAACGCAATCTTCGCAATGGGATTACTCGGGGCTGGCACGAATAACGCAAGGTTGGCCCAACTTCTGCGACAATTGGCCAGCTACTACCACCGCGATCAAGAAACCCTCTTCATAGTTCGTATCGCACAGGGTCTTTTGCACATGGGTAAAGGCACCATGACGCTTAACCCCTTCCACACGGATCGGCAAATCCTCTCACGAGTGGCGACATCCGGTCTGCTCGCTACTCTTGTCGCTATGATTGATGCCAAGCAATTTATCACATCTAATTCTCATTACCTCCTATACTACCTTATCACGGCCATGCATCCCCGTTTCCTTGTCACTCTAGATGAAGATCTTAAGCCTTTGACAGTCAACGTCCGTGTTGGTCAAGCCGTCGATGTCGTCGGTCAGGCCGGCCGACCCAAAACGATCACTGGATGGCAAACGCAGAGCACGCCCGTGCTTTTGGCGTACGGTGAACGGGCAGAATTGGAGGATGAGCAGTATATCAGTCTCAGTAGTACATTGGAAGGTCTCGTCATCCTTCGGAAGGTAAGGCCGAATTCTCTTTCTCAGCGCCGTTGATTTATTTAGAAATACATATACTGACATCCTAATAGAATCCTGACTGGGAGGATGGAAAGTAGTGCGAATCGCATCGACTTCTATGACATCCTGGTAGATTATCGTCCTAACCCTGATCTGGAGCAAGACCTGTTTGCTCGTGACTCTGGACTAGCCACAGGATGAAAAATGTACTAATAAAAACCCCATAATGCACTTCCAGGCATCGCAAGTTTAGAGCGCGACGTCGCTTGGTCTCACGCATTAGATATACGGTGGAAACGGCTCGAGACCTTGGGTCCGGGTTTGACGTTGTATCGTTGGTAATGAACATGATTACCTCCTTACTTGCTTTATACTTTGCTCTTCTACGTAGTCGTGACTCTAGTATTATATACGTGCCTAGGAATGTTACCATCTAATATGCCGACGTTTTTACTTCCTCGACGGCCTAGCGTTCTTTGCCTTCTTCTGCTCCTTGATCACACGTGCCTTGCGGACGTCTTCCGCGCTCTTGATCTCCTTCTTACTGCCCATACCATCCTTAAAACGACCAACACGCTTCTCGCGCGCATCGGCCACGCGCTTCTTGCGCACGTGGTAGTCGTCGCGGTACTTGTCAGCCTCCTTGGGAGCCTTCTCCTGCTTATGTCTGTACCGCCCGCCACTTTCCTCTCCCGCACCGGGGGCACCCAGGCGCGGGAGCTTCTTCTCGGTCTCGCCGACGCGGGGTAGACGGCCGAGGCGCTGAGCGCGGCGCCACTTGTCGAAGCGGCCGCTCTGGAAGCTGGCGGCGATCTTGACGCCGCTCTCGCCGCGGACTAGGCGCTTGCCGCCGCCGGCGGACTGGGCGCGCGAGCCGTCGTCGTCGTTGTCCCGGGCGACGTACTTGGAGGCCTTCTTGTCCCAGCGCATGCGGGCGCGGGCCGGGGCGCCGAAGTTCTTGGCGCCCTCGTCGTTGGTCAGGTCCATGGTCAGGGTGCGGGCGGCGGCGACGAAGTTACCGGTGCTGCTGGCGGCGGCGGAGGCGGATTGCGAGTTGGAGCCCGAGTGGACGCCGTAGCCGCGCTCTTCGGCGGCGTTGATGGTGCGGGGGGTGTAGGACATGAATATCTCGGAGTCTTGGAAGGAGGAAGTTGGGTCTTTGGAGGAGGAGGATTTGTTGTGGTTGGATATGGTGACTTCGAGGTCGGAGTCGGAGTCTTCGTCCTCGTCCTCGTCCTCGATGTTGGCGGGTTCGGTGTCGGATTCTACGGCGTCTTCCTGGGGATCTGCCATTTCCTCGTCTTCCTCGTCGAAGCCATCTATACCGTCCATTTCTCCGGTCTCGTTTGCCTCTTCGTTATCTTCGTCTTTGCCAGATTTGCGAGGACCGAAGCGCTCGCGAATACCCTTCATAACATCGGCCGCATCGTTCTTGCCCGCCTTAGCTGATCTGCCGATCTCGAAGATGGTCTCTTGTGGCTTGAAGCCGCTGATCTTGGCGAGCATTTCCGCGCGAGCATCCTCGGCCGCTCCTAGTTCGTCACCAAAGATAGGGTGAAGTTGCACCCAGCCTTTCGACTTAACAATTTCTTTTGCGCGTCGGGCGCTTTGGCTAGAAGCTGAATTACGTGTCCTCATATAAAGCTTCTCGGCTTTCTCGGATACTCTACGGAGAGCGCTGATATCTTCGCTCTCCCCCAAGACTTTGTTAAGCCACTCCACGTTGGTTTCTACCTTACTTCGAACAGGGGCTCCAACTGCAATGTCTTCTGCAAAGTTTGTAGCATCCTTGCCTTCTTTACCAAGGACGAGTTTCTTACCCAGAAACAGTTGTAGATCTAGAAGATACGGGGCATCCATATCCCTCACGAGGCTGTAACTCCAACCTCTTTGTCCTGCTCTCGCCGTACGACCAACTCGATGGACGAAAATCTTGGGTTGCGGAGGGAAATCGTAGTTGATCACATTGGCAAGAATAGGAATATCAATACCTCGCGCGGCCACGTCTGTCACTACTAAAATATTGGAGCGGCCACGTCTGAAGTTTTCGACTTGCTCTTTTCTGGCCGTCTGGTCTAGGGAACCATATACGTACGAGACGGCAAATCCTGATTCGCGCAGTAAAGATTGTAGATACTCGACGTGATGTTTCGTAGCAGCAAATATAATAGTCGAGTGTTCTGTCGGTTTCTCTCTTACTCTTGGCGCATCAGATCCTCGCTTTCTCTTCTTTGCATGTCTATCGGACTCTGCCTGAACGCCCTCTGGTAATCCCGTGGGCATCTTGATAATATCGTTTAGGATGTGGAGAAGGGTACCTTCTTTCTCGGCGCCCTTCACACTGAAAAATGCTGATTGAAGATCTGGAGATATCTTTGTCTCGGCATCTAACCGGACCAGACTTGGATCTTGCAAGCCTGCTCGCGCAAACTCGACCAACGAAGCTGGTAGGGTAGCTGAGAAGAGCAAGGTTTGTCTCGAGGGGGGTAGTGCGTGTAAGATCTCGGTTAGTTGTGCAGCGAAACCCATTTCGAACAACCTGTCTGCCTCGTCGAAAACGACATACTGGATTGAGGATAAATCGAGAGACATCTCGACTTTGAGATGCAAGAATCGGCCGGGGGTACAGATGACGATATCGGGATTTGTTGTCATGGCACTAAACTGTTCCTCTAAACTATCACCACCAACAAGGAGTACGCATTTGAGGGTCGTTCCGCGACTGAATTCCTTGACCACCTTTAGGGTCTGGATGGCTAATTCTCGAGACGGCGAGAGGATCAATGCCCTTGCACCAACCGTGGCGCTATGGGCCCTCAGACGTTCTATCATAGGAATAACGAATGCTGCCGTTTTACCGGAACCTGTTCTCGCCATACCAACGACATCCTTCCTCTGCATAATTAATGGTATAGCTTTCCTCTGGACAGGGGTAGGAACCGAGAATCCTTTTCGCGTGATGGCTCTTAGTAAGTTGGCATTGAGACCTATGATTAGTTACATTGTTAGACAGAGTTATACAATACTATGTTACATGTCGTCGGACGGGTGTGTACGAACCCATGGCCTGAAAACCACCACCTTTCTTAACAGATTTTCCCTGTAGATTACTGGCTTTTCTAAAAGAAGCAGCCTGTTTAAGGGCAATAAAGGCCGCGTCGCCATCGTCTTCTTCTTCATCATCGCCACCGTCCAGGAAATTAAGGTCTAAATCGTTTTGTGCGTCATTCTTTTTGCTCTTCCCGCTCGATGCGCCAATGTTGTCTGTGAGCAGCGATCCTAGAATATCGACTTCGTTTTCGGACGGCGTCGGAGACACCGCACGCGACGGCATAGTGTTAACTGGCTGGTATATCGATATACAGCCTACATAGATGTACAAGCGACCACAATATAATGCCGGAATTAAGACAAATCGATTGAGAAATCGAGTCTAGAATCTCAGATTGAAGCTGTCGTGGGGCGGCTCAAGAACTTTTTTCGAAGTTGTAGGACCCTTGCTAATGTTATCGATACGCTAATGTCAGATAAGCATTTCATCCCCACTAGGTACAAGTACACGCTAAGGTTGTTTGTACCTTAGGTACCTAGGTATCGTATCGTAACTTCTATTCCTTATCTCCTCGCCTCCAGCCCCGAACCTCTTACACTTACTTACATTACATCTAATCCGCCATCTTTCCCATACATTTTGTTTAGTTCCTAGCTGCAGTAAACCAGCTCTCACTCACGGGATCATTCTATAACAGAAAATATGGCGACCAAAGAAGAGAGTCCTGTTGAGGATAAGGATGCACTTGACGTGCTTGAGGCGGAAGCCAAGGAGTTCGACAAGGCAAGCTGAGTTCATCGCATCCTCGTCGCATATTTACTAACATTATTCAATTTAGGATGCCGAGATCGATCGCATTTTAAAAGCTTTCCGTTTAGATGCGTACGTTATTTTGACGAATTGCGGCTAGAAAAAGAGATGGTACTAATATTTATATTTACTATAGCTACGCAGTTCTGGATCTCAACCCTGGTGTCCCGGAAGCCGATATCAAGCTAGCCTATCGCAAGAAATCACTACTCATCCATCCGGACAAAACGAAGAATCCTTCGGCGCCGGAAGCCTTCGATCGGCTAAAGAAGGCGCAGACCGAATTGATGGACGAGAAGCACCGAGAGCGACTAGACGAGGCCATCGCGGACGCACGCATGCTCCTAATCCGCGAGAATAAGTGGACGGTCGACAGCCCGGAGTTGAAAACGGAGGACTTCGCAAAGAAATGGCGCGTCAAGACCCGCGAGGTCCTAATCGATAACGAGCTAAGACGGAAGCGTCAGATGAAGGCCCAGATGCAGGAGGAGGGTCGCGAACAGCGCAAGGTTGACCAGGAGGTCGAAGAACGCAAGCGCAAGAGGCAGCACGAGCAGGATTGGGAGAGCACCCGAGACCAGCGTATTGATAGCTGGCGTCAATTCCAAAAGTCCAAGTCCGGCGACGATAAGAAGAAGAAAAAGAAGCTGAAGCCGATTGGTTGAGTACGGGGGCGTCTAGATGGGAGGGGAACTATACGGTTGCACATATGCTTGCTTGCTTACACAGGAATCGCACGCTCGTCGACCCTAGGTCAGATGAATGGGTGATGGATGATGGATGACTACATACGTCATGGTTTACTACGTGAGTTCTATTTGATAGACCGAAATATTTATGAGCCTAACTCCCTTAGTGACATTGAGACCGAGTTCCTTTTTCTTCGTTTCTATCAGAGAAACAGAATATCAAGGTGAGTTTGTACGTGCTTTTAGCATTCCAGGGTTTGCGATGACTGCACACAACAGACCCAGTAGCGGGACGACGAAAGGGAGACCGGTACTCCTGATCTCAAATTGATCCTAAGACGAAAAAGGGGCAAAGACGCATCAATAACCCGGATTCCCTTGCATCTCGACATAATAGTCAACCCTCTTAAAGTGCCTAGCCATTTTGGTTTCGTAGATTAATACGCCTCACTATCCTAGTCGTCTGGCCCTAAACGTAGCTCTTTCATCTTGCTACTAACGTCCCCAATTCTCAAGGTCTATGCTTCTGCTTATACTGAATGAATCTAGAAAGATTCATGTTCGCTTCTTCAGCGCGCACACGCAGCTCAGTTGATTTCCTCCTATCAATTGTCTTTATCATAGCCTTCACCCTTGGCGTGGCCTCTTCGAAATGCTGCAGAAAGTTGTCTTTCCAGAAGACTTCTTTGTCCCATGCCTTGTTCTCATCACCGTAGATATCGAACAATTGGTTCAAGGCCTCTACAACGTCTGCGGCCGGTGTATCGGGTAGTCCCTTCACTACCGTGAGGAGGAAGATACCTATCTCCCGATTTAATTCGATCGGTTCGACGAGCGCGAGTTGTCCGAGTACTCCAATACACTTGACGCCAAGACTTTGGAATGGATCTTCCTCGTCTGAATTGAGGTTCTTGGATGCGTGGTACAGCGATACGAACTTTTTATGCTCATCACCGCTGAGGAACGTCTGGCCATGCAGAGTCCTTGCGACAGCCCATGCGAGGCTCGTCACGATCGCAGCGAGCTCGACATCAGATGTATTGCTCGAAAGTACCGGCGCTATTATCTGTTGCCAGATCATACGTGCTGTCGGCGTCCAAGCGTGCAATATGGCCGCATTCGATTTCTCGGCAAAATCAATACAGCTCACCGTCCAAGAGATGTTATTCAAAGCCGTTAAAGCATGACCACGAATCAACTCTGAGACCTCGTCATCGCCGCCATTTGCACGAACGATTTGCACAATCTGTGGAACTGCCTTCTGGATAAGTTCTTTCAGGGTAGGCAAGTCATCAATGCCCTCAATCTCCTCGCCATCGTCTACTCCAGTGACCATTTCCATGTCTGCTTCCATTTCGTCTTGGTCCATCTCTTCGTCTTCTCCATTCTCTTCATCGGATTCATGGTCAGAAATGTCCTCCTCGCTATCAGCCTCCATAGCATCTACCTTTTCTCCCCATTTTTCTTTTTTATTCCCTAATTCTAGGGTCTGCTGTAGGGTAGTGCCGATAGATGCGAGGATTTCAAGGGCCAGCTGCAAAATCTCTGCTGGGCTTGTTGAGCTGTTGCCATTTGTCATGTCCCCGCTGGATTGAGTGTGCTCGAGTGTCTGGGAAAGCGTGGGAACGAGGATAGCGTCGCAAGCACCATCCTTGCCGGGGGTATGATCATTCCATTGCACCATAGGGAATATGTTATGCAACACACCGCAAGCCAAGACCGCCTTATAACCATTGCCATTCTTGAATGCGATGAGTTGCTTATAACACTTAGTAGTGTTATCGGCAAGCAGCGCTTCGGCGAACTGTTTGTTGTCCTCAGAAAGCGTAATCATACACGAGAGGGCACTATTCAAGACCGGTGCGGTTGTGAAGTCTAATGTGACGAGGGTAAAGAGAAAGCGAAGTATTTGCTCATTGCGGGTGGCCGCATCCAGAGCTTCATCTTGTGCTTCAGCTAGAGCTGATAATATAGCAGTAAGTGACTCCGCAATACCCCAGACGAAGTTCTGCTCAGCTTTGGCGGTTTTGCTGAAAACAGGACTTGTTGACGTGAGAGCAGTTGTTATCTGTGAGAGTCAGTATATTATAATCATTAATATTTTGCTCTAAATATATTCAAACCTTACCTTCGCACAGGCGTGCTGAATGGCAGTTAGAACATCGACTCGATATAGATGGATACAGAAGTCTGCCTCTTCCTCAGCTGTGAGGATGCGGAGAATTTCCCATCCTGCTGCGCGACTCTCTAGACTTGCGTCGGTTAGAGTCTCATTAAGAAGAATATGAACAATCTTCTCCCGTAGAAGTAGTTTCCGGCATTTGGTATCCTGAACTATGTTGGCGATGGCCCCAGCAGCGGCGGTCCTACGCTTTGGCTCGGTGCTCTGGAGATCCTTCAGGACAGGCAAAATACTCTTCTCTCTTATCGCTGCTAATTCCGGGTCTGAGGGGGGCTTTACTGGTTTAGCAATCGGATCGGAGCGCTGGCCACCCTTCGCCCTGTTGCGGCGGGATTTGGCCATAGTGAAAAAAAAAGTAATAGAATTTTAGAAACGATTTGCTTAAACTAATGTCTTCTGACTTGGAAAAGGGGTTCACCAAATGTATTATGTTGGTAACTTTAACACGTCGAGAGATGGACACTGGACTTATACGTGAAGCTGAATTTTAATTTTCCAGCTAGAAAAATTTCCAAGGGCCTGTATGCAAGACGTACATATGTACAAGAGCTACCATGTAAAATGTACATACCCAATGCGGGCTTTAATGTGGGGTTTATCTGCCAAGCTTCCGTCGTGGGGCTTATCGTACTGACGGAGCTCTATGTATTTTCGAGGCATGGAAGGTCTGAAGCGAGGAAGTGCCGCTGTCCCGTCATATTAAACCTTATAATAAAATTAAGGTATATAACCTTGGGTATATAAATACCCATGTAACCTAACTAACACATTTTCCTTTAATATCATACCGGTAAAATGTGGTTTTAAGATATGATATTTTCGGGGGAGAATGATTCTTATATAAAGAATTATTATTAATATAAAAATTATTTTTTTTTATAAAATATTACGTTAATTAATTTATATAAGGAATATAATATAAAATATAATTTTAAATTTAATAATTATTATTATATTAAAAACTATTTTATATTTATATGATTTATTATAAATTATTATTTATATTATTTTTATATTATTTTATATTATGTATAAATTATGTAAAATATTTTATAAATTATTATTAATTATATAAAATATATACCTTTAATAAAATAATAAAAAATAATAAAAATAATTATTTAATGTAATAAATATTAATTAAAAAATTTTAGTATTATTTACGGGTAATTTTACGTAATTATATAAAAGATAAAATTTATTTAAAAATTAAAAGTTTTTAAAATATTAAAAATAAAATTTAATAAGTTTTTAAATATTATATATTATAAAATTTTTTAAAAAATTATATGTTAATATTATAAAATTATTTAATTTTTTAATTGTTTATTTATATATATTTTATTAAGTATTATATTTAATTTAAAAAAACTTATTAATTTTAATTATAATTAATATAAAAATTTAATTTTTTAATAATAATAATTATTAAATGTATATTTAAAAATAATTTTATTATTAATAAAAATTATAATAAAGTTGTTTAAAATATAGTTTTTATTATAATTTAAATTATAATTATTATTATTTAATTTTATTATAAACGATGATAAGTTTAAAATAAAATTAAAATTAATAAACGAAAAAAATAAATTAAATTTTATTTTAAATTTTAAAGTTATATAATTAAATTTAATATTATTATTATTGAAAAATTTAAAAGTATTATTATTGTTATTATTATTGTTATTATTATTATTGTTATTATTAAAAAATAAAAAATAATTATTAAAAAAACCGTTATTATTAAATTTAATTTTATTATTATTGTTATTATTATTATTATTATTATTATTATTATTATTATTATTATTATTATTAAGTTTTAATTGTTTAATGTACATTAAAAAAATTAAGTTATTATAATGTTTATAAATAATAAAATATTTAATATTATTATTATTATTTAATTTTATTTATTTAATATATATTAAAAAAATTTAATTTTTACTTAAATATTTAATATTATTTTTTTTAACGTAATTATAATTTTAAAATATTTAATTATAAGTATATATTTTGTTAATAATTTTTTAATTATTAATTATTTTAAATAATAAAAAAAGTAGGTTTTATGTTAATAATATTTTTTATGTTTATGTTAACGTATTATTTTTATTTTTTTAAAAGATTAAAATAAAATATAATTTATTATTAATATTATTAATAAATATTTTAATTATATTATTAATAAAAATATTTTAAATAAATTAAGTAAATAATAATTTAATAAAAATGTAAAGAATAAATTTATAAAAATAATTATAAAATAAAGTATATATTTTTATATTAATTTTATAATATTTTTTTAATAAAATAAAAAAATGTAATGTTAAACGGTATTAATTTTTAATTATAACGTTAAATTTTAATATAAAAATAAAGAAATTATCGTTAAATAATGTATAAAAATTATAATAAAGTTAAATTTTATTATTTATAATATTATAAATAATATTTAATATTTTTTTAATAATATATTAATGTATTTTATTAATTTTTAATTACTTTTAAATAATGGTAAATATAATATAATTTTTTTTAAATTTTATAAATTATTTTATAATAAAATAAAAAATGTAATTTAAATTATAAATAAAATTAATATTATTTAAATTAATTTTTATATTTTTTTATAATTTAAATATAAATTTATTAAAAAAAATTTAATAATTAAAAATAAAAATAATAAAATATAATAAAATATTTAAAATATAATTTAATATTAAAAATAAATAAATAATTATTAAAGATAATAAAAATTTATAATTAAAATTAATATAATAAAAATTTAAAACGTAAAAATAATAAATTTTAATAAATATAATATAATTTATAAATATATATTGTTTAATAATAAATAAATTAAAAAATATAAATAAAAACGGTTT